TGAGCGATCCATTCTTCATAATGTCATTGCTTATTCTAGGACCACAGGCACTAGGGAAGGAGATTAACGTATACTTGAGCCCGCTAATAGATGAGTTGAAAGAATTGTGGGAAGGTGTTGTAACTTTTGATACATAGTAAACAGACATTTCAAATGCATGCAGCTATTATGTGGACCATAAATGATTTTCCTACTTATGGTAACCTATTTGGATGGAGTACAAAAGGTTACAAGACATGCCTCATTTGTAATTTTGATGCATTATCACTGCTATTAAGAAGCAAAATTGGGTACACAGGCCATCAGCGTTACTTGCCACAAGATCACAGCTAGCGACGAAGTAAGTTATTTAATTGTAAGATTGAGAAAAAGTTGAAACCTTGTGAGTTATCGGGGCAAGAGATTTTAGAACAGTTGGAGTGTCTATCAAATGTGCAATTCGGAAAGCATCCAAACAATCGAAAAATAAACCGGTCATCTGAGGAACTTAACTGGATAAAAAAGAGCATTTTTTTTTGAGTTACCATATTGGCATGTCCTTAAGATTCGACACAACCTTGATGTCATGCACATAGAGAAGAATATATGTGATAGTTTGCTTGGCACGTTGTTGAGTATTGATGGCAAGAATAAGGACACAGATAAAGTTCGTCTGAATTAGAGGACCTAAATATCAGAAAAGAATTGCACCTCCAAAAGAATGGGGAGGCATATGTAAAACCAGCTGCGTGGTACACTTTGTTTCCAAAACAAAGACAAGGGTTCTGTGAATTTTTGAAATCAGTTAAGTATCCAAATGGATATGCAGGAAATATATCGAGGTCTGTGAGCATGAAGGATGGTAAGTTATTAGGCCTAAAAAGCCATGATTGTCATGTTCTTTTGCAACGACTTATTTCACTTGGAATTTATGGTTACTTGGATAAGGAATTTGTACCACTTTATTTGAGCTGGAAAATTTTTTTTCAACAACTCTGTGCAAAGACATTGATGGGAAAAGACATTGATGGTAAAATACTTAGATGCATTACAAGATAACATAATACTTATTTTTTGTAAGTTAGAAAAGATATTTGTTCCAACATTCTTCGATGTTATGAGTTCATTTAGCAGTTCACTTGCCAAGGGAAGCCAAGATTGCTGGACTAGTGCAGTATCGGTGGATGTACCCAGTGGAAATGTAATATTTTAAATTGTTATTAGCTTCTTATTTGGTTTTGTTATTATCTTCTTATATGTTTTGTGATTTACTGAAGGTATCTCGGAACTTTAAAAGGATATATTCGTAATCGATCTCATCCAGAAGGTTTAATTACGGAGGCTTATATTATAGGACTGGGTTGTTTGGTTATAGAGTCTGTATTGAGTCATATTCTTTGGTGTTGGTCAAGACTGTTAAGGGTATGATGGAATGTCCGTGGCCTTTATTGGGCAGAACGCTGTATATTTTGGAGCATGTATATAGGGAGGCAAACTTGGTTGCTGATGCCTTAGCAAATAGAGGTGTACAAGATGCATAGGGATTCACATTGATCTAGAATAAGTCCACATTACTGGCACGACTGCATTCTTATTGGCTGATATGAACATATTTTCATGAATATTCCTTATTACCTGTGCACTTTTTGTAAAAGCAACTACAATTAGCTTGAAACTATATAAATGGGTCGAATTAAGGTTTTCCATGCATTTAACATGAATGCATCATTGGTTACCCTTGCAGCTCTGTGGAAAGACTGAGATAATAACTCCTACATTCCCAAATGCATCATTGGTGTTTGGACCAACTTGCAAGTTTGCAACCTATGTGTAGCCAAAAAATCCTGTGTTAGTTGTAGTTTCTAGCTTATGGTAAACAAGGAGATGATGCTGACAAGTGCTGCTCTCAGTTATTTATTCTGACAAAGAGAATTCCCCGTATGCAACTTTTCAGTTAGTGTTGCAGCATTTTCTTGTGAAAAATGAAAATAGATCATTTTCAAATGCGAAACTTATTCTTAAGCATCTCATAATCCAGCAACTATACTTTTCTGTTGCAGAACCATGATCTATTATGTGCTTAGTAGCTGAATCATATGCTTCCATTTACTAGCACTATATGGTTATATGGTTTTTTGAAGCTCCTAGTTTTAGGCACATCAGATCTAACATATCTCTATATGGAACTAAGATGATAGGGGTTTACTTGATATTCTGCTAGATCAGTTAAATTTGCTTCATTTTTTCTAGTTTTTTTCCTTCTTTTTGGAGCCTTAAATTTGTTTGGTATGATGTTTTGTGTCTCATAACTTCTGAGAAATCCATGTTTAAACGATTCATGTTCTACTATGCCATTGACAAGTTGATGTCATGATGTTTCGGATTGCTATGTGTGCATCATTATAGGATATTGTGAAGGAGGGGACATGTAAATTATGTTTCTTTGTTAAACGAATTATTTAAAATGTGTTCTTGAAGGAATATAGACTATTTATTTGAAAAACTAAAAATAATACATCTATAGTGTTATTGGGCATTAGATTTGTGGATATAAGCACATTGTGTCAGACAACGTATATAATTTGTGTTCCTTTTCTTTTAACACAGGAGTGCAACACTGGGAACCAGAAAGAATATTAGTTGATGGATCAAGCAAATCATGGATCACATATCGATGTTTGAGATGGTAGTGTATATTTATCTAATATTATAATTACGAAGTTGAATTCTCAATTTAAAAAAACACAATAGTCAAGATTGATTCAATCTTCCACTACTTTGATTTAATGGTATAAAATTTATCCCAAAAATTTTTCCTCCCCAACAAACATCATCTTTCTTTGCATGACCCCTAATGTCGGACAACCCAATCAACACACTCTCTACTGTCAAACAATCTCATCAATTCACATATACATGTTATTTCATAATCCCTATTAGAGGCCAACCTAACTTAATTTAGTATTAATTATTCATGATTTTTATTATATATATATATAATTATATGTTATAGGGTATTTAAATTTACATCGACTACTCTCTTAAACTCAAAAATTAACTATCGTAATTTGAGTTAGTTTAAAATATGTCCACGGAAGGATAAGGATCACTGTATATTGAAGGGACAAAGCACATAATTTCTTATTACTTTGCCTCCATAGTGACGTAAGGATCCAATAAATTCAATTAAAAAATATCTGCAGCAGCCACTTAGTCCGAAAGCTGAGCACAAGATCTAAAGACCCTTCGGCCATCTTTGCTTGGGTATAAAGAAAAAATGAGGCTGGATAATTGGCTCTTATCCAATTTATACAAATGATATTATCATAAGAACTATTTGATCTTATTTTTTATATTAAAAGTTTGAGTTAAGGTTGGGATATGATATAAATTTATAATTATAATATCAAATTTTTGTTTGAATTAGGTGATAGTGTATGATATTAAATTAAAAATAACAAAAACACATTTTGAGGCCAAGAGCTTGCATAATGAATAATTTTTCTGTGAAGGTGTGAATTTAGGTTTGCAAGGGTAATAAAGTCTTTGTGTTTTTGGTACTAAACTTGTTAAAAATAAGGGTAATGCTATTTGAACTTAAAAAGTTGATATAATTTTCCGACATGATGATGTGTTGAGTGATAAAGTCTCAATAAAAAAGTTTAAAGGCCATATTTTTAGGTCAACAAATTAGGTTGATGTTTTTAAATTTCAATAGCATTACTCTAAAAATAATTCCACCTAACACATGATATTCATTAATACATATATATTAGGTGTTAAATGACAATAGTGAATCACATCGGAATTATTAAAAAATTAATATCGAGTCCCTATAACCCAATCCAAAATTTATATTACAACATGAACGAATTAAATTAATCTAATCCAATATCTTAGTACTTAAATCAGATATGCCACCTACTCTTTTTTTAGTCCCTTTAACTTCTAATTATGTGATTTTAGTCCTTAAAATTATTTTAAAATGTATTTATATTGGAGGAAATTGATCAATATGACAGTTTTAAAATAGATTAAACTTTTGAAGAACTACAACCATAAAATTATAAAATTGAGAGACAAAAGTGAGATTGAAGAGACTAACAAAAGGTATAAATTTACCCTTGTTCGTTTTTTTTTTCTTTTCTTTTTTCTTCTTTGAATGGCATGTCATGATAGCTCCATAAAAATAAGAAAAAAGTGGGGTGTCCTTACCCATACAGCACTGTCACCGTTAGTTAACATCTCCAACAGAGTCAAGTTTTTCTTGTTCAAGGCATTTTTATCCGCCGTAACATGATATTGTTGGCTTGGGTAGAGGTGCAACAAGTCTTCCTGAGATTCACTGAAAGGTAACTCGTGGACGCTTGTTGCTAAGCTAATTAAAAGAAAGAAGTTACGACTTCATTAACGGCTACTAATTTTAGTGTAATGGTAAACGTTTCGGTCCAACAATTGGCATCACAATGAGGGCACGAGTTCGAGTCTCAGGATAGTTACTAGTAGGGCAGATTGTTGGTTTAGGTAAAGGTGCAATAAGTCTCCCCAAAACTTGATGAAGGGTTTAACCAACCCGACACATGGACACTTAATGTTGAGTTAATTAAAAGAAAAAAGTCATGCCATCACTAACACCTACGAATTTTGGTGCAATGGTAAGCATTTTGATTAGCTGAAGACTTGATTTGAGAGCTGTCCTTTTCATGTGCCCCTTTTACAAGGTCTTTGTTCAAGTCGTTCGTAGTAGACGAATCAAGAGTGAAATTTTCCCTCCCTTTGGTGTTGCAAGTACCAAGGCATTGGGTGTCTTTAAAGGTGTGGGCTGCATTAATGCAACCCCCTATTTCTCTTCTAGAGTTCCACCAATAAATTGGTCCATAAGGGCTAGAAGGGAGATAGAATAGAAACTGAAGAGTGCAGAGATCAGCTGAACAGGAGTAAATACAATCACTAAGCAAATCAAATCGCATGAAATTGGGTAGATTTATGAAGGGCTCAGAAGGGTGAACAAATGGGTGTAGGGAAAGTGGATAGGCCAAAAAAGAAGGAAAATGAAAGCAGAACAGAGGAAAAAGAAAGTGGGAGTGAAGATGGTTGGAAGGAAAAGCACAAATATCGTCAATCGGAATGGAAACGGACTAGATCTAGGGTTCGTGGAGGTCATGGGAAAGAAAATCGCCATTTGTTCTCTACACTAAGTCAGAAACCAGTCCCTTAAAGCTAATAAATCAAAAAAGAAAAGAAAAACTATCCATCAAATAATCATCCCACAAAAGAGAATGAAACTGAAATATAAATTAAAACCAAAACATAAAATATAAAATTGTTTTCTATGTTTGACCTATTGCTCACAAAATTTGACTTGAGAGTCAGAGAACCTTAGGTTAAAATCAAACCAATGTTCTCTTTAACTCCAAAACTATAATTGTTTTCTATTTTTTCAAATCTCAAAATTCACGGGACCGATGACCAGTTTATTGGAAATTGATATAATGGTGCTTGTGCTCTCTTACGCACTATTATGCCAGTACACAAGTGAATTTTTTGCGTTAAGAAAACTGACTAACCTTAAATTCTAATTCACAATCTTATGATTTTTCTCCGTCCGTCGCTATCTTAATGATACCATTTAGGCAGAAATTGAAGTTTAAATGGTAGACATATCTTGTCATGTTGTTGGTAAGATTTCATTCAACAACATGAGAAAGAGAGGTGTTCATCATATTCTTTTTTGGCCTTAATGTTTTCTTGTCGGGCATTGTTGTTGTTGTGTTTTGAAAGATTTTGCAGTTTTTTTCTTTCTTTATGCGTTGACTCGAGCTTAATCATATCAATGGAGGATTTCCTCAGGATTATTATCAAGATTTTATTGAAGTATGGATGACCCATTTTGATCTGTGGACAACTGTAGAACCAGTGGCTATATATCCCCACAAAATGGTTTTGCTGATCTTTAATTATAAAATAATTGTTGAATCTTTCAATTTATTTTGAATGGTGAGAATCTTTCCACGGCAATGAATCTTGAATTTAAATAACTACTTTATGCTTTTAATTTTTTTAGATAAATTAAATTTGGGTAAGTAGACGGGTCTTTATTACTTAAAAATACTTGAAATATCCAATTATTTTACATTTGGAGACAAACTTAACCCAAGAAAAAGACATTGACAAATCGTCACCAATTTTGTGATTTTGAAATAAAATTATCAAATTACAATACTTTTAAATTTATTTATCAAACTATAATACATTTTAAAAGCAAAGTTTGTTGACTCTGCTTTTGTTACGTGATTGTTTATCCCGCTTTTTTAAAATTGTCATACTTTGACGAATAAATTTAAAAATACTGAATTTTTTTTCTCAAAATTGTCGTATTCTGGTACTTAAGTCCCATATTCCTCATGTGTGACTAGTCAAACTTGGCAGATAACTTAGAAATTTTGCAAATTTTTGTTATAATATTTTCCTTATTCTTAAGATATTTACATAATAAAACAAAATGTATTACTTGCATAAAGTACAACAATATTTTAAATCGTTTGATCCAAAGACTTAACTTATGACTTACATTTTATGTAATCGTCATCAATCTATCTATTTACATTTAACTTTTTAAACACAGTGAAAATGTTGCATATTATTTGAAGTCTAAAATAGTAATATTACTATCCAACCATCCTAATCTCACACATTTTTTATACCTGCAAATGTTGTTAATTTTTTGTTATAGGGTGTCTAAACTTGCACTGACTAATCCCTCAAACTCAGTTATTGACTACCGTGACTTGAACTGAGTTAAACTATGTCTTTAAAAGGACAAGAATGACTAATCTTTAAGGGGTGCAAAAAATAATTGAACTAAAGACTTCTAAATTACTAAAAGTCAGACTCAATTATAATTTAAAATTTTAAATCCGGGAAATAAGATATAAAAAGTACACATCAATAGCATATTATGAAGCATATTAGACATGCCTAAAGAAATAATATATTTTATCGCCACCAACGTGACGTTCAAATACGGCTTGCCACTTTGTATCTATAAAGCAGCTAGTAGCAAGGTATAATAGCCTACTAGGGTGGTAAGAAACACAAGTAGACACAATCTGCCAATAATTTATTCCCTTCTTAAGTGGTCCACCATAATCACACACAATTCTGCCGCTAAATATGACAAACTCACACACTATAAGATGACCAAAAGAATCAGAACATCATTATCAAATAACATGCTTCAACTCTCTTATAAATTTCTAGTCAGTATTGGGCTGGGGTTTTCCGATGAGATCTTTTCTATTACATTTTTTCTGTTTTTTCATCCTTTATTCGGATTTTGCTTTTGTGTTCTTAATTTGTAGTTGAGCTGCATGAAAGTCTTTACATAATGTTAAAGTCATAATCTTTACGGGTACTTCAAACAAAAGTGCATAAAATTCGTACGTTCCCAGTGCATTTTCTAATCTAAATTTCAAAAAGTTTGGGTAAATTATGCTTTTCCCTGGTAATTGGGTTAAAAGTCTTTGCTAAATTTGTTTCTATAAAGCAGCTAGTAGCAAAGTGGCACACTAATGAGAAACGAAGTGGACCAATTGGGAGGAATATTAGACTAATTCTAATTAAATAATATCGTGCAAACATATAGATCTCATATTTTTATCCCCGAAAATGTGGAATTGAATATAGCTTGCCACTTTACTTTAAATTGACCCCATACGTAGTGTACTATTTTCTTTGTATTTTCAACATCTTCTTAGAGAGTTGTTATATAAAAACAAAAGAAAAAGAAATTTTTTTAGGTTAGTTCAAGATAGATTCATTATTTATAATGTATGAAAAGTATGAAACAACTGTCACAATAACTAGAAACATAAAGTGTATTAAATGTGTATGGTCCCATACCATTTTCTAATCTAAAGTATGGAAAGTTTGGTAAATTCCTCTTTTTCCCTAGTGATTAAGCTAAAAGTCTTCTTTTAATTGTCTATAAAGCAGAATCTAGCAAGGTATAGCCTATTAGGGCAAGAAACACATTAGGCATCTTAGTGGTCTTAAATTTTCTTTTAGTTCCTTTTAACTAATCCACCAAAATCAGACAGAATGTGCAGCTAAATATGACTAACTCAAACAGTGAGATGACCAAAAGAATCTACACATAAGGACTAGATCATTATGAAATAACAGGCTTCACCTTTTTATACATTTTATGGTGGCCAAAAAAATTGTTTATAGTCAGTATACTGATGTATTTAGTTTGCAATTATGCATGTTTGACTGAAATCTATATAGTGTTTTCTTTTTCATTAATTTTGTGGGGGTCTTGTTAATGATGACCCATATACTGATATCAGGGTGAGACAAATGGATTTGGTTATATATAATCTTTGTACTTGTTTTTACTTTATTTTAAGTGTAAAATAAAAACATCTGAATGATTTAAATGTTTTCAATAGATGCATCTGACTTAAAATCCATTCCAAAATGTTATCTGAGGTTTGAATCTTTTTTTATTGTTTTTGCAGCGTCTCTTCCTTGATGTTATTTTAAAGTGAATAGTTGAGATAAAAATGATAGTTCTTAATGTCTGGCAGGGTTATTGCTACTATGACGTATTGCTGACATTAAAGTATTATGCTAAAAATACTGGATGGAGAATGCAAGTAACAGTAGATGGCTACATTAATATTTTTTTGCTAGTAGGATGTCGAATTTATTGTGATTTTGTCATAGTTATGGAAGGTGCAGAGACATAAATTTAGTTTTTTTTAGAGATAACATTTTATTTTGTTTTGTTTTCATTGCGGGGGATGCCTCACTTTTTGTGTAATACCCTTTGTTGGAAGATTCTCGGATCTTATGCACTTTTATCAAGGTAGTATTGGATTTTAATTTTGTTTGTGATGAGGATTACAAAATTGGATGTTTTACAAAATTGCAAAAAAAAAACTCGCCACTAGTCCTATGACCATATTAATTAATTTAACCCAATGTATTTGGGGGTAAACATTCCACCTTTTATGGAAAAATGTTAAATAAAAAGTGACAGTTAATTTCATAACTAAACAGTTCCTCTTTTTTGACTATTTTTATGGCGTCACAATTTATTTTTACTGGCACATCTATAGTGACAACTTTTTTATTGCCACTAAAACAGTTAGTGGCGACGTTTACCATATTAGTGACAACTTTTTGCACCACTAAAAGTCTCGATTCTTATAGTGAATGATGTTGTCCATATTTTTAGACTATTTTGGTCATTTTCACTGTTTGAGTTAGTCGTATTTAGTTTCAGATTCTGTCTAATTGTGGTCTAGTTAAAAAGGAACTAAAAGAAAATTTAAAACCACTAAGATGCATGCCTAATTTGTTTCTTTCCCTAGTAGGCTATACCTTGCAGGATTATTCTTTACAAAAAATTAAAAGAAGACCTTTAACTTAATCGCTAGGGAAAAAGATAAATTTCCCCAAACTTTTCAAACTTTAGATTAGAAAATGCTATGGGAACATACAAATTTTATACACTTTAAGTTTCTAGTTATTGTGACAATTGTTTCGTACTTCTCACTTGTTATGAATAATGAATCTCTCTTTCTTGAACTAACATAGAAACTTGTTTTTGCTTTCTTTTTCTTAAGTTTGAAGCATTTGCGGGGATAAAAATATCAGATCAGTACGTTTACACAATATAATTTCGTTAGACTTAGTCTAATGTTCCCCACAATTTGTCCACTTTGTTTCACGTTAATGTGGCATTAGATACGTACTTGACATAACTTATTTCATGGATCACAATTTTTGAACTAAAATATGATTCTTTTTTCTGTTTTTTTTTTTTTTTACAAAATTGCTCTCTAAGAAGATGGAACCCAAGTATCAGAGAGCGAAAAGATAGTAAAGATCATTTAAGGTAGTTGTAATACACATATTATGTGAT